TCTGTCAGTGACCGAAATAAGCGCATCTAGTTAGTTTCTGAAAGCAAAAGAAGTAGAGAATCGAAAGAAAATAAAATGGCTGTTTTCGTTAGCGGTAATATCCAGGGGTAAAAGACTGGCCATTTTGATGTACGAGAGAAAAAGGAATTGTATGCTGTACTAAAAATTCTATTTCCCAGTTTCCGATAGCATACTTTGAACCCCCCGGTCCGAGTACCACAAGGCCGTCATCAAATACACGCCTATATTCAAGCTTCGCAAACCCAAAATCGATAGTCGCGTCTTGTATGCTGGTAGGGAACTGGGATATCCAGAATCGGGGAAACATCTATAGAAAGCAATTCTTGTAAATGTTTTCTGCACTCTTTCAAGCATTTCGATATTTTTTCTCAAAAACGGATTCTAAACTGGCGACGCGTAATCTAGATACGGCAAAACGTATGTTTTGTATAGTCTTACTGATCTGTGGTCATTGCCATGAACACTACGTAAAATGATAAAAAGACTAGAAAGGGTCTTTTTGGCGATTGTGCTATAATGAAGCGTAAATTTTAGTTGGTTTTCCACAAAAACGCCAAAATCTCTCATTGTGTCACAAGGCTCAAGTGCAACACCATCACACTCATATGGGGGACAATCGCCATTTCCAAAATGCATCATTTTCGTTTTTAAGGCGTTCACGGGAAGATTCCATTCGTTCGACCATGAGACCAGCTTGTATTGAAGAGGAAATAGCTGCATAAGCTTTCTGTTTCTCGCTATCATAACAAATATAGATCTTTATATCATCAGCGAAAATCTGGACTTTGATGTCCGGGTGGATTCTGAGGTAAGCAGGGAGTTCCGCTGTATATGTCAAGAAAAGGGGGGGGGATAGTTTACCTCCTTGTGGGACACCGCTTTCGCAAGAATATCGTATTGAAAAGTCATTACCCATGCAAACAGTCATCCCTCTATTTTCTAAATATGAAGTAAACCATGAAAGAAGCTGTCCACGGATACCATAGTTTTCCTGCTTCTAAATTAATTTCCGGTGATCCACCCTATCGAAAGCCTTTGAGAGATCGAAAAATATCACGTCTACAGCTTTACCATGATTCAAAGCGGTAATCCAGTCATGAACCGAATCACTAAGAAGCGCAGTAGTTGAACCACCAGGTACAAAACCGTATTGGACGGAGGGAATAATGTTGTTGCTCTCCAGCCAATCGAGCATCTTGTTTTTAATGATTTTTTCAAGTATTTTCCCTGATGTCGCGGTGATACTGATGAGACGAAGATTGGTCACCAAATTCACTTTATCCCGCAGGTATAGGAGTGACCAGCGCCTCCTTCCATAAACTGGAAACTTTACCCTGCGGCAGCGAAGCATTGAAAATGTTAGATAATGGAAAACATAACCTTCCGCGCATTTCCTATAGACAATCTGGGGAATCCCATCATAGGAACATGTAGTAATTGGCTTTGAACTTCTCAATGTCTCATACACTTTCAAAGGATCTATGGTAACCTCAGTAAAAGAGGAGGAAACACGAGTACACAAAAGATGTTGGTAATCAGACTTTCCTCGATTTTCTATAGCGGTTGCAGTTACAAAAAAACTCGCAAAATAGCTACCCAGTTTTTCGGCCTTGTCTTTGTCTTTCAAGACAGCATTGCCCTGCTCATAGATCAATCAATTTTTGCTGGCCTTTAGTCTTGAACCTGAAGTAGTTGAAGAGCTCTTTGCCATTAGCGGCTTTGGAAAGGCTTCTTTCCTTATTGGCTAAGTATTTTTCGACATGATAGTTGATATCACTACAAACTTTCTTGCAAAGGTGATCATTTAGAGGATCTAGAGATCGGCAAGAAATTCCATGTTTTTGCTCTAACAAATTCCGGATATGAACTGGGTAACTTTTTGGTTGAATTGAATCAAAACGAAAGGGCACGTACTTTGCCAAAATTGAATACAAAATTCTGCAAAAATTCCTGCAAAGGTTGTCGACTGAATCAAAGGTATAGAATTGATGCCAATCGATGTTTGATAGAGCTAAACTAATGTCGGTAAAATTCGCTTTATTGAAATCAAAATATGGTACAAACTTAACTCTGTTTGAGTGAAAGACGATACCAAAGCCTACTACGTTATGGTCGAAGCACCAGACGGAGGAAGTGTCTTAACATCTCGGATACAGATATTAGACGAAAAGATCAGATCAATGGCCGAATCTTCTCTGGTGGAAATATCAACATTTTGATGAAACTGGCAACCACAAAAAACGCTAAGAGAGGGAGCATGTAGAGAGGATATCTAAGCAGAGTAGATCGGATGTAAGATTGTTTGCACAACTAACTCGCTCCACGAAAAACTCATCCCTGATGAGGCAACAAACTCCTCCAACTCTCGAGCGAGATTGATCCGCTCGGTGTATTGAATAAGGTTGATCAATGACTATCACCGAATCAGCAATATTATTAGTGATGCAAACGAAGGAAGGACGATGAATGTTTAGAAATAGATGCAAGAGGTGAAGTTTATTAGTGAGGCTACGAGAATTAAACAAGAAGCAGTCATGAAGAGGTGCAGATGGATCTGGCGGAACTAGAAGTTTCCCTGGCTGGGCTGTCTTAGCAATCGGAAATATGGCTAACTTCGCCTTTGTACACAACCTATTGTTTCGAAGGAAGCCCCTTGTTTTCCTCTTTGACCTGAAGTCGTAACTCGTAATCTTTCGCTCTCTCGGACGCAGTCATACTTTTGCGTATAAATATATTAGACATATTCGACTGACGAAAGAGAGATAAGAGCACAAAAGAGCTTGCCTCCAAGGTGTGCGTGAAGGAAACACAACTTTCACGAACCGCGGCTTCCTACCATCGTAAACACCCATGCGAAATATTTCACAGGACCAACAATCGACCCTGAGAATTTCCAAGACCTCGGCTACATTCCTTTCTAGTTGGGTCTTCCTCTCAAGCAAAGGTGTTCCCGGATTGCTTTCAGGTATGCCCGACATCACTATGCTCCTTTGCCTTTTTTCCGCTTCAGCATCCTGCGGAATCTTGGTCCTCAACGCTATTACCATCCTTTCGATGAGAGGATTCGTGTTCTTTTCCATAATCGAGCTTATCAGCTCATCCGCTATAACTCATTGAAATCCTCTCCGATTTCCCCACTAGCAGTAGCCTTGTCCTTTACCGGTTGTGTAAAACCACTACCAGGAGCTCTCTTGTTGATGCGTGAAGTTGACTGAGATGACCTAGTCGATCGAACTGCCATGATCCATTGGTCAATAGGATGCGAAGGAATTGGAGAAAAAAGATACGAATGGAGGAGTAGATAGTGATAGAAGAAGATGAAGATGTGCTGATGAAACAAAGTTACCAGAAGAACTTACCTCTGAGGTAGAAGCAGTTTGCTGGTCGAAGACGGTGGATACAGATCCTCGAAATCGGAACCGAAGGGAGCGACAGCAAATGCGACCGCTCACCGAAACCGCACAGACGAGATGCAAAACTTTTTTTCAAAATTAGGTGGCCAATTATCCGCCTAATGCCCACCCGAGGTAGGCAAAACTTCCATTTCACATAAGTTTTTCAACGTTTTTGCATAAACCTGTTCCACACCCATAGACAAATATGTAGTAACATTTTGCTTTTAAGACTTCTCCTCCCCTGCTTGTTAGGATCCGGAGTAGCAACGCGCCGGTCCTTTTGAGGAAGAAAGCGCGCTTCAATCAAACGACCTACGCAGCCGGCGGGATCAGATGGGAAATCGTAAAAATCAAGAGGCAAAGGCGAAATAATTTCACCGATGTCCGCTTGCCACCCTCGTGTATAACAATGTTCCGAACTTTTTGGTGGACCACGAAAAACTGCGAATTTTGAAAGAGCGAAGATTTACATCCTAATTCTTTTTGGAAAATATTTAAAAATCTCTTAGGTTATTTACAGATAGAAAGAAGTGCAAAATCAAGGTCGCAAGGCCATTATATTCACTATTAGATCTGTTAGCATAGATGGGACTGAGCATCCAATGTATAATACGGTGTGTAAGTGATCAGACCTATTATCTGAAATGCACCAAAGTTATATTGAATTTGATTATTTAGAAATTTCAAATGGACGACGTTTTTCGCATTGTTTGGCTGCAATGGCGAGACATATATCGAGCGTTTTCATAAAAAATATTTGCTGATGCCTCACCGTTGATAACACATGTAGGCGCTTACCATCACTTTATCGAGACATATTTGCCAAGGCCATATGTGTCATGCAGGGTCCCAATCACGTAAACAATCAATAGGACTCGTACACTCGGATTACTCTTTCCATGATGTTGCTATTATCGAACATTCCCTTGCAATCATGACTCATCGATTTTTTCATCTCACTTACTCTTTTTCATTTGCCTTTTTCATAAATAATTTTCATTTTACTAAATTTTTTCAAGTTTTTATTTTTAATTATCTTCCGCTTCATTTCTTATTGTTAGAATATTTTTTTGCCAGTTGTTTTAAGCGTGAAAATATACTAAAAATAATCTTTTGTTACCATAGTAACGAGGACAAAGTCTACATTGATATTATTTGCTCAGCGACAAGAACGCTTTTGGCGTTATGTTTTGAATTGATCACCAGTGCCAGAATTCGAGATTCTTGCTATATTTTTGGTTTTTTACCTTTTGAATAATCTTGTATTATAAAGTCTTTGCTGTTCGATTTTCTGTAAATGTCAGAGCTCAAATGCGCATCAGAAAAAATATTGTTGGAGAAAAGAAAAAATGTTCAAGACCATTTTCGTGTATATCGTCCTACTTATTTTATTTTGAATAATGAAAGGAAATTCATCTCAAATTTCCCCTTAGGTACCTGTACGCGTACGCATAAGTTTTTACAGTCTATCGTAGAGCATAGATAATTCTCGTTGAAATCTTTTATACTATAAGATTAAGTCAGAGTCTTGTTTTACCTACCATTTTTTTGTTTTTACTCTTCTAAACAACCTATTATTTACAGATGAGGAGACGGCGACTGATTTTTAGAGCTATCGTTGCTTTCGCAATATTTTCATCGATATTTATATTTTATGGTGTACCATCACTCATAAACACGGTAAGTTTCAATTTTCGCAAAATAATTTCAAAAAAAAAGTTTTGTTTTATGTCTTCAAAATGGAACGTTTGATGACCGCTGTAACAATCTCTAAACTTTTTTCTTCCAATCTGTTGTCTTCATCCTGCTGTATCTAATCAATTTTCAAATTATTCGTTCAAGACTTTGAAAAGAGATGAGCACTCAACAGACAGGGCTCTTTATAGTGCAGCCTTTTTTGGACCTCTGCAACTGATTTTCCACCACAACTTGAGAAATTAATTGTTTTGGTTGGATTTCTTAAATCTCCTGGAAAAATCTTATTCAGAATGGTGAATAATTTTCAACTGCCATTCGCATATAGCTCTGACAACGAGATAAACTTCGATATATCTGTTAGTGAGGTCATCCAATGAGATCATATTACTCGTTAGATGAGTGCTCTTCAAAAGAATCAAAATAAATCAGCACGAGTTTCATATGTAATCTTATGTTTTGTCATTTTGTCACTTACTTTTAGATGTTACTTGATACAAAATTTAGTTCATGGATAGTATGTTGCGATCTAAGTCCTATAACGTGGAGGAACTTGAATATACAGCATCGAATAGAGAATTCAGCACATCTGGAAGGTGAGTTGGAAATTCTATGCTTACTTTTTGGGCGGTTGTTGCTCGTGATTCTCAAATGTCAGATTGGTTGAAAAATAAGTTCGTTTTGGCATGCAATTGTTCATAGAAATTTTTCTTGTTGTTTTCTATCCATGATCTTTTGTGGAAAAGTAGCTCAACTTCTTCTATCATAAGTCAAATATTCAGATTATTCTATCATCAAAAGACAGTTATGCCTCATTATGGCTAAATTTACAAATCATGCTGTAATGGATGTAAAGAACAGCAATTTGGTATTTGTATAAAGGGAAGTTTCCCCTATTTAGTGAATAACAATAAAAATTGTGGCCTGCCATTTAGAAGATCTTTTATAAGAAAAAAAACCGAATTTGTGATATTTGCTCACTATAAGAAAAATGTGGTTTCTCAATTCTTTCCGGCTTTTTTTTCCTTGGAAAATGTTCTTCTCAAACAGAATTGATATTCCAATTCCCATTGAAGTGTTCCTTCTAAAACCTAAACACTGGATAAAAATATGTCTGCAGCGTTTGTAAGGGCCGCAAAAGCGACCGAATCTATTCATTAGCCAACCTAATAATATTCATCTATTTATTTTCTGAGCATCCCCGAATTCACATAATTCGCATCATAATTCGAATCAAAAGCGGGGGAGTCATTTTTTGCTCGATCTCCCTTTCATCCCATTTATACACATCTCTTTATTTAATCTTTGAGCATGGACCAGATAAAACACTTCATTTCTCCCAAAAATTTTATGAGCGTGTAATAATTTCCTAGTTCAGTAAGTTACATACAGCATTTTTTTCTAATCGAGAGACCTTTCGAACATTCCCTGCATTTCAAGCACGTATACTAAGTTAGCTAATAAATATAGTTTCGGCCGGTTTTGCGGCCCCTACAGATGCTGCAAACAATTTTTCGTCCATATCCGGTACTTCTGGAAAGAGCACTTTAATAAGGATTGGAACATAAAGTCTGTTTGAGTACAGTTTATTTTGCGATGAAAAAGCCCGCAAAGAAGAGAGAAATTTCAATTTTTTCACTGTGCGCAAATATGAGAAATTTTGGTTTTTTCGGCCAGAATTTTGAAATGGCAGATCACAATTTTTACCAATAGTTGCTGAGTAGGTAAAACTTATTTGTATCCAGATACCAAATTGCTGTTCTCTACATTCATTAGAGCATGAATATGAAGCTTAAAAATCGCAGAATCGAGCTTCTGGAATTTTAAGCAATTGGGGCATAAATGTCCCTTACTGATAATTTGTATTTCTGAGTGAATGATATGTGATAGAAATTGCTTTGAGCTACTTCCTTACAAAAAATCATGGATAAAGAACAACTAGAAAAGTTTTCATGGAGATTTTTATGCTAAAACGAAATTATTTTTTAGCCCACCAATATGTACTTTCTGCCAGCTAACCCATCATCCATACAACGCGCTTCCCAGAAGCCTTACTATATTTTTTGGACTTTTTCTAATCAGAAAGCTTCATGTATCATATTTTCCTAATTGGAGGGTAAATGAGTTGTCGAATACTCTCAAATCTTTCGTTTCCAGTAAAAGATTCTGGATTTTTGTTAGCAAAATCTATCTAACAGAAATTAACAGCTACTTATAATTATTCATAGCACCATGAATTCAGCCGATCTCATGTAAATATTGCTATTGTTATGGTTGTACTGGGACATAAAGCTATCGCCATCTACCAAAAAGCCATGCGTAGGTTCTGCACGACTACTCAATCTGTATTTTTTACTAAACCATGTATTTCAGTCACTGTTTCGTGCTATGCAAGAGTTCAAGGATATGATTTTCGTATTCTTAACTCCACGCATTACGAGGGAAGATGCCCGCAGAAAGATGTAAGCTCGTTTATTTTTGAAACTTTTTTACCGCGTTTATTTGCCCGAAAAATTATTCTATAAAGGCCTAGGGATTTTTTCAACGTCATTGCATCGTAGCTCATGTGCTGCCTACGTACGACTATATCCTGTTCTTAGATGCCGACATGGGTGTTGCAAATCCGAAAAGGTTTTTTATTCACCAGTTTTCTTCGCAGTGTAGCAAATCTATCTTGTGTAGGCGTATTGAAGAGTATATTGACCCCAAAGTGGATATAATTTTTTACGATCGATTTTATAATTGGGAGATCACTATTGGATCGTATTTGGTAAAGAATACTAGCTGGTCGAGAGATTTTCTGTTGAGTAAGTGACATTTTTTTCTTTGTTCACTATACAGAGTGCTCCAAATATATACATTGTTTGGTCGTTGATATAGTCGTCCTCACCCCACTAGTCGGTCGGTGATCGGATTTAAATTCGAACTGGAGCAGATCGGCCGCGGCAAAGCGCGGGAGACCGCCCCTCAGCCAACTGCTTGCATATGAGCTTTCCTCTTATTTTCTTGTGTTTCTTTGCTATCTTTCGTATTGCGGCAATGGTCTTCATCAGATTTTTAGATTTTGCACCGCTAACTATTGTTTTGTGCAGTTGCGCTCGTTTGTTTTACATTTTTTCCATATAAACCGGGAAGAAGGATGCGATTGGAGGTTTTTGGATCAGAACACACAAATGTGATTTGATGAAATGTGTCAAGTTTTTCGTTAGAATATACTACTCTAGACTATTTTTTTGCGTTAAGGCTGAAATTCTCTCAAAAAGTGTTTGTTTCAAAGAGTTAGCGGTAGAAATTTGAAAGTCTGATTAAGAACATTGCCGCAATACGAGAGATTGCAAAGAAACACGAAGAAAATAAGAAAAAAGCTCGTGCAAGCGGTTGGCTGAGGGACGGTCTGCCGCGCTCTGCCGCGGTCGATCTGCTCCAGTTCGAATTCAAATTCGACCACCGACCGCCCCTCAGCCAGACTTGTGGGGTGAGGACGACTATATCTTTCTTCCCAAAAAATCTTTTGCCTGTCATCAGCTACCGTTTTGTAGAGCTAGTTTCAACTGGAATTAGCAATGTGGAGCTCATCAAACTTCTCTCATTAATGTAGGATTACTGTAGCAACTATCAGCATACAGCACCATCGTGAAAAAGGCCGTTTGGAAGAGAAATTTCCGAAAGTTCTGAAGAGTAGCACAGTAAATGCACAACTTTTTGCGAGTTTTTCAAGCTTCTTAATGGTGTGATAATGATTTTGAGGAGACTAAAAAAACTTTTTATGCGGTTCAACGGGCATAACTGATAAGAAGCATTATGATAAGTTGTAAATCTTCGTTTGTAATCATCGGCTCTGAATAGCCTAGCATAAGATTTCGGCCTGCCTTTTTAAGGCAAATTGTAGCCCTTGATAGTTCAAAACCGTCTTCAAAGTTTCTAATGAAATTTTACACTCACGGCAAAAAATCAGTGATTTGTTCCAAATCTAAGCTGAAGACTTATCCACAAAGGGCATCTGAAAATAAGCAAAAAAAGAGATATTAACGATCAAACATTGTATACATACTTCTGGAACACCCTGTTATAATTTCCATAACCCACGAGCATATGTAAGCTATTACAAAACCCGTTCTTGGATAACCAATGGATGTAATTTCAAACTCTTGTTGAAGATGAACTAATCAAATAAGGATCACACAGCTTAATCTGTCAATCAATCTGGATTATGGCTTTGCAGCTGAAACTATTATATACCCATCAGCTAGAAATACATAGGCGATGTCTGAGCTGTGGGTTAGTTATTCGGAAGTAGAAATGTGGAGTCTCAAAGTAGCTCAAGGCGAAACTCGCCCCATAAGTCATGATACCTACCCTACCGAAGTCGTCGCTCCTACGTTTGGTTATTCCTCTTTCACAAAGTCCCACCGAGGCCCTGGATTTCGACGATACACCTCGCGTCCATTCTTCCTGTTCAATTGAATAGTTTTGAAAAGCCCGTCCGTCACTTTCGAACTTTTCAAGATGCATATACGGAACAGCGCAATGGATAATCCCATCTAATAGCGGAAGCTCAGCAACTTCCCAAAGTCCCGCTTTTTTTTAAACTGCTAGTCAAGCTTTCCGGAATTGCACTGCGAAGACCCATGGCTCGCTCCAAAATGACGCTAAGCAGCTAGGAACAGCATGCTTGGAATCAGCCTTCCAAGCTATGTATATTTCATCTTGAAAGGCAAATTTAAGTTAGTATCCTTTCCTTGTGAGTGCGAACGAAACCAGTTTACTCGAGTCGATAACATTTTTTTGGCTTACAAATAAAAACCATGCTATCTTCGCGGACGTGATACAATGACTTACTATGACTTACTACATTGAACTATCAGTCACTTTTGCCGAGCTCTGCTCTTAAAAAGGGAAGCCGGAATTGAGCTTACTCTGACATAACTATTATGCATCCCTTTGAAGGGATTAGCACTACTACTGCGTTCAGTGAAAAAATTGAGAATGCAAAATAACTCTTGAAATCGATGTTATTCAAATGCTGATTTACGCATCTCTAGATTTTGCCAAATACGAAGAACGATTACCGAAGAGCTTTCATGGAACAGACAATGGTGCTATACATGTAAGTACTGATCGGAGGATGTTAAGGTTTTCATTTGTTTGCAAAGAAAAATTCAGGCATATATTGCTGAGATTATTCTGGGCAAGAACGATGTTAATCTGGCTCGTTGTATGCAGATGTACAATAGTTCAAAGAACTGGGATGATCTTTTTCTGTACGAAGCCTGCATCAGAAATATTTTGGGCAACAACACCACCTTGGGGAAGATGAAGATTCTTCCAAAGGTACAACAATAGTATTCATGCTCTATGGTCCCTTCATACTACGCTACAGGATGTAGCAACCTGCCGGCGGCAGCACGCCGCAGCACGCCGCGTCCTTCGGCGTACGCCGCTAAAGTCGCAGTGAAAATATACGCTCACGGCAGCACAGCTTCGCCGGTTATGGATGTGCATCTATATTTGCTGCACGTTCGTGTTCTCCGAGAGGTTCCTTCACAGCGAGCAAGCTTATATTTTCACTGCGACTGCAGCGGCGCACGCCGCAGGATGCGGCGTGCTGCGGCAGGCTGCTGCGTCCTGCGGCGTAGTATGATGGAACCCTTACATCATCATGCAGATCCTTTTCAGGGAGTCGCTTGGGCACGTGACAATTGGATAACGAATAGTCTGTGGAGTTTGGAAAGAGATTTCATAATACATGGTTGGAAGGAGAATCAGCTGAGCACATACTGGTTTACGCCTGTGAAGTGCGTTTGTAACAATTTAGATGTACAACCTTTGTGTCCAACTTTACTTTGAAGCAAAATAATTTCCTACTCTAAAATGAAATTCGTTATTAGCGCAGTTGCACACTATTAAAAGAGTTGTATAAACTTGGTTTCGAGAAAAGAGGAAGCTGCAAATCGCGTTTATAGAATCGTTTCGAAATTGGATGATCGGTGGTATAATCCTCTCGCAGGAGCTATAGAATTGTCTCTGTGCACGCAAGGGTAAGTTTGTTTCGTATAGCACGTGCTTTCTATATAAGTCTTGGTTCTCTCAAATTCTCAAGAAAACTTCATTTTCAGGAACACTTCATGGCAGTATGATAAGAATTTGCTGGTCTCTAAAAATGTTATAGATCGTCGATTGCTTGATCTTGCCAAGGAGGTGGAAAAGAAAAAGGCTTTGATGCTTAGCAAACTTCAATGATATATGGAAGCTGGAGGGATTTGCGTGCTCTGACTGGGATGTAATTAGAATTTTGCTACTGTAGGCCTTGCTCAATCAATGTTGCAAATATAACGATTTGATTGTAATATGTTCCTTTGCAATTGATGTTACTCCGACTTTGCAAATCTTGACAATGAGAAGTTTTTTTATCCGTAACGGTGTGACGGTTGCGAGTTTTATTGCCAGATGGATATTAAATACGCGTATCGAGTGTTTATAATGTTTTGGAACTATGTTTCTATGGAGATTACTGGGTAATTGCAGTTGTAATTGTGTTATTTATTCTTAGGATTTCGAAATAAGTTACGTAAATGTTGGAAACAAATCATGGAACATTAAGCAACGTATCTTAAACATTGGATCCATTATTCAACAAAAAAAATTTGAAAATTAGCAATTAGAAACTCCATGCAGCTTTGAGAGAAAGCACCTTGTCTGGTCTGTTTTGCAGAATTGCATAGCAACTCTGGGTACTGAGTTGGTGATAACCGGAGAAATCGGGCCTCCGTTTCAGATCCGTTCTGTGATCACGATATGTTTGGCAAACTGAAAAAAGATGATGAAAGATGTACCCACCTAAGTCCAAAGGTACATAGTCCGCCGTTAACTCTCAGTACCGTTTCACACCGTTTTTACCGCGGTCATACACTTCTCATTCTTCAAGATTTTCCTCGATAGAGTAAAGCAAGCTAAGGTGTGAAAGTTCGCACCAGCTTCACTCCAAGTGAAATCGAACTTTGAAAATTCTGTTAACAAAAGCCGAGGGTAAGTGTGCGGGTAGTCAACTTCGGATGTGCTATAATCTCGATATTATACTTTGTTGGGCAATACCATTCTGGCTCCCATACTCTAGCGTCACCAGTTTGATTTGAGCTTTTTTCCAAATCAAACTGAGTGTATTTCTTCTTTTTTTCTGAATGATTAGTACTTAGACTTTTTTTTGCGTTTTGCGATAGACACTCTTTTTGTGCATTCAATAAATAAAAAGATAAATAAATTCACAAATGACTTGAATGTTGAGAGAAAAGTACATCTTTGTTTGGAAAATCCTGCGGCTCGCTCACGCATATTCGCATATACACTCCATATAAAGCCGCTTTGTTTATTCTTCGGTCAGAAAACAAGAAATAAAAAAGTGTACAAGCATAGTTTTCGAAATATTGGTCTAGCGCGACGTTTTCTTTTTTTTTTGGGGGGGGGGGGAGGGGGGATTTCTAAGTTTAGGGTTTAGGGTTAGGTCTAAGATATACCTCGCACAATTCGGTTAAATGCGACGTTCACGCGACTTGGCAGTTTGCCAGATGTCTCCAAATTTATCGTGCGCGGATTATCGCCCATGTGTTGTATCCTCCAATACATGGGCGCGTAGCTTCTGTGGTTTCTTGCAAACCGATCAGAGCCTGCCTTAGAGGCAGCGTCCAGGCAAATCTGGACCTATGGGAATTTTACGTGGAAAGTACTTTTGGGGCCCTAACTAAGACACTGCCCAAACGGCAGCGCAGGTAGTGCTCTAACGGCTGAGATATTCCCCTCGAAACGACCCCGCAATCGTATTCGCATGGATTCATGGCAGTTTCGCCAGGATCCACGCTTTGCGCCATGAATCCATGCGAACTACGATCGCTGATTCCAGATTCGAGGGGAATATCTCAGCCGTTAGAGCACTACCTGAGCTGCCGGTTGGACAATGGCTTAGTTAGGGCCGCGAAATTACTATCCAGGTGAGATCCCCATGTGTCCAGACTTGCTTGGACGCTGCCTTCATCAAAGCGCTTTAACGACCCATTATGCCGAAGGCATACCTCACGCGACTGAAATCGCGTGAGATATGCCTTAGGCCTTAGTGGGAACTTCATACGAAATTTTCAAGATCAAAGGCGACTTTGTTCTAATTTCTGTGGTGCCAGCTCGTTCCGAGCCTTGGATGTATCTCTACTCACTTTATTGCATGCTATAAACAATACCTCTTGAAAGTAAGGCTTGTAGAGAGCTGAAGTCTACAGTCGCCTTCTACAGGCTTGTAGTACACGTTACTTATGTGGAATCTGCGCAGCTTCGGTTTGTAGAAACAAAAGCTTTTGTTTTCTTGACTTCTAGCCAGAAAAAAATACAGCAACGGCGCATTTAAAGACAGTGGGTTGGCAAAATCCAACAACTCAGGATTTCAACGCGGTGGGTTCCTTATCGCCCAAGTTTGAAAACAGTGCAATCCCAGTTGTACAGCATGCCTTCCCTGCCGAAAAAATTGCTCTTAAACTCACACGCGCAGACTAAACTTACACGCATCCGGACGAGTTGGCAATTTCCTTCTCACCATTGGAGGCTGCCCGCCGCAATGCTATAATCCTTGCTTCGTGCAACGATCCAGCGTCATCAGCATTGCTCCACTCGTCCACTTCCAAAAAGAAGGGCATTGAAAAACGCTCGTTTCGCCGTTTTCAAGCTCACAAAAGTGCATTTTCGAGATCAGCGTCTTGAATAACCCCAGTTAAGCGAAAATTTCACTAGCTTGAGATTTGCCGTGCCACTGCCTTTGAATGTCTGAGGTGAAATGGATAGATAGGCTGCAGGAGATTTTCGAACATTCAAACTGTTCAGAATTTGGCATCGAACTTGCGGGATCGAAGCTGGTGCAAAGTTTTCTTGTGCAGCTTGCCTTGCTCTATCGAGATACCCTGAAGTTACATTGAAAACAAGAAGTGTATGACTTATCGCGTCAAAAATCAGTGTGTAACAAGACGTATTGGACGATATGCTAGGAAGTTTGAATTAAGAGTCTTAGTGCACAGCTTACTTATCAGTTGTTGAAATTTACATGTCAAACGCAGATATTGAACAACATTACTATTTACAGGAGGCTTTTCTTAAGCATGCGTGGATCTTACAGAAGAACTTAGATACTGCGAAATGGCCGTTGTCATTGGAGCGCGTTTTCATTTCAGAACTTAGCGCTGTGCTCCATTTTCGTAACATGTGTTCTTTTCTTGCTTGAATCGTGGACCTTTCCTCTTTTAGATGTTCTGTACTGTCTCGGTTTTGCTCGTTATTTGTCATTCTGATTGTTTCATATTGTTCACCTTCCAGAGTGCAGTTCTTGTGGAAAAATGTCCGGTGGAAGCGGTGTTCCTCTGTCGGATCGGCTAAACATGAAAAAAAAACAAGTTGGACGAGAGCATCAGAGACTACCGTTATGTTAATTTGTCTTTTTGTCGAAAAAGTGGCAAGATATGACCAGTTCTTGGCGCTGTTGCTCAGTCTATCGGGAGTGTTGACCATGCTGGTCGAAACATTATGCTTTAAAAATGTCATTAGGTGTTTACGATGGTGTGCGATGAGAGGCTCAATTAGGAGTTTGTGTTTTCGACTCACTTTCTTTTATCACCTGACCACCATTCTCACATGCTAGACTTGTTTTATCCTTTTTGCAAAACAACGTTGCTGAAAAAAAGCAAGTTGAATGTACTCGAAACCGAATTCTGCTGAAACTCGGTTGTAATCAAACCTCGATATTCGGAATTTTTGTTCAAAACTTTGTCGTTGTTATTTTGTCCAAGTTTCTGACTTCATTGCATACGGTAAAGTTACGGTCACCACCAAGGATGACGTGGTTGAGCAGAAAACGTAGGTATCCATGATAATGTCGAACAACCCTCCCAGACAAGAATTAGCCAAATCGTAGTTTTGAGCCCCCAGCGTCCCCATGGTAACAGATGATGTTGTGCAAAAAAGAGTGCGATATTCGTGGTCAATAGGCAATGACCCCCCATGGACTGAGTTTGGGCGAAATATACTCCTTGGATATTGGGGCCCTGATATGGAACAGCGCCCAGTTTGTATTTGTATTCCCTCCATCTTCAAAACTTTGTGTTTATCTATCTCAAAAGGTTATTAGAGTATCTTTCGTTCAGCGTTTTTTCTTTCTAGTTTCCCATCAACGAGTGAATCCAGCATACTGCCGCAGTCTTTGATGGTTACAACAAATGCTGCTGGACGCACCGCAGTGTTGGTGTTTCTGTTACAAAGATTTCCTAGCTCTCTCAGCTCAATCCTTTAGGCATGAAATGAACGGAGGCGATTTGGAGCCGGATCTAGCTTACTTTGCGTGCATTGAAAAGGACTGCAAATACATAGGGCCAAACGCCGCAGCACTTCACAAGCACTGTAAAAGATGCGACCCAAGGATAGTTGATCATAACGAAAATGTTGTTGCCTAGAACTTCGACATGTTAAGATTTTTTTTACTTTCAATTTCTTCACTCTATATCGAACGTTTGTGTCATTATCTTTTCAACGTGCCACACTGCCATGATTTATTAGGCTCTGAGTTGTTCTTTTTTCTAGGTTGAACGTACTCATTATGTTTGTGGACATGGACTTGCTGCGTTGTCAGTTGTTGTAGATCAGTGCCGTATTCATCAACGAACCCTGAGGGTTAAACTAACCCTGGAGGGTTAAGGCGTCAATTACGCGTGCGCTGTGCAAACTCACATCACAGAATGTCTTAGTACGTGCCAAATTCACTTTATACTTCTATTCTTTCACTGTTATAGTAGTATAGTCAACGAATAAGCTTCTAACACTAGTTTTTATAAAACATCTCTAGCATATCTGTGCAGCATCCAATCTTACAGCGTGAGTTTATTTTCTGTGCAATTGTGCCGTGTAAGTTCTACTTTTGCGCAGTTCGTTTTATACCGTGCTTGTGCTACTCTTTTAGGGGTCAATGCGTAATATCATAAAGGGGTTTTTCTGTTTTGGCACTTGTCAGAGTGGAATGCGCAACCATTTTTCCTCGTCGCATTCATTTGTCACCATTAGAATTCTCTTTCTCGCAAAGTCAGTGTTTCATGTACTTCGAATTTGAACATAAAACGAAGTCGAAACTAGATATTATCACAACAACTAATATAAACACTACAATACTCGTTGATCGTTTTCCATAGAATTATTAGGTGCGAGTGTTTTTATGAAGTGTTAGGGTAGAGTTAACCCTGCTCTGAGCTAGGGTTAAATTAACCCTGATGAATCACGTAACTTTAACCCTCCAGGGTTAGTTTAACCCTCACGATTCGTTGATGAATACGGGTTAGTCGCTTTCGGGGTAAAATTAACCCTCAAGGTTAGATTTAACCCTCAGGGTTAAGCCTACCCTGTGTTTCATGAATACGGGTTAAACACTTTCCAGGGTTAAATTAACCCTCCAGGGTTAGTTTAACCCTCGGGGTTCGTTGATGAATACGGCCACAGGTGCTTTACTTCATGCCATCTAATCATATTCTAGGACGTGTTCTGTCTGTTCCGTTCGTTGTTCGATTTGAATAATAGAAAAATCAAAGTAAATGCATGTTCGGTGATCCGTTCAGCAATCCTATGCAGACAGGAAAATATGGTGAATAAACCCATCACTAGACAAGGAAGTGTTTACACAAATGACTTCGAAGGAATGAGCGACACTCCTCCACTTTATACAACACAGAAATTTATAATCTCAGATTTCGGTTTCGCGAAGGGTAGGGTCTCAAATGACAAACTGTTCACAAATATCGTGTTAATTTTACACTGTCAGACGTTTTTCCTAACTTTGATTATCCTTGACATCATCTTTCGAAGTCGCGTTGGATCGAAAGCATGCTTTACGTTTGAGCAAGACCACTATTCCAACGCATATGATATCACAATCGTAAACAGCATGTTGGAGAATTCCTCATCTCTGGAAGGGGACTACCACATGTATGCAGTAACACTTCATAAAGGGCTCTTTTCCTACCTTCGTAAGCGGAATCTAGGCGAAATTCAAGTCCCAGGTCGAAAACGCGCTCCAATGACAACGGCCATTTCGCAGTATTTAAGTTCTTCTGGATCTTACGCATGTTGTCCCAAGTTGCCGTAAGCTATTTGCCTATTAGTGACTTGCAAAACTGCTGGTTTCAAAACTCACATAAACGCTGCTTCTTCTGCCTATGGAAATCTGCTTGAAAAGTTCTCTTGCCTTTTAAGCAAGAGTAAATTTTTATGCACATTTTAAATCTACTTGGAGATAAGCTTGAGAAAATCTGGAGAATAACGAAAATGTAATAGTAAAGAGGAAAAGGAAAATTGAGAAAGACAGTCACTTGTATGGATAAATGCTTTTTCTTAGTGGCCACCACTACCATCCTTTGCACGTCAAATCTGCAGTAAGTAACTACAATCAAGTAACATTTTTCTACCATTGATCATGTGTAATTCGCGTTCTAAATTGTTCAGATTGCACAAATGGTGGGAAAAGTCCCAAAAAGTGGCTTAGCTGTTCTAGGCACAAAACACAGTGTCTGAGGACGGTCTGAGGTTCTGCAAAATGTTCTGTACTCCGATTTAAGCTTTGAAATAAACACTTAAAATCTCATTTTTATTAATCTTGTCGTTTTGTTATTGCGACAATTTGTCAATATTTACGAGAAGAGAGGAAGCAATGGTTGCTCTTCGTCGTCGTCAAGAAGATTCACTTTCTGGTTCTTTTCTTTATTCTCTTTGTCGCATTTTCTTCGCCAGTCACTGACAATGCCCCACATATCAAACACCAACTCGTCTGGGAAGTCGAAAATTGACAACTCAGACTGAAATAGTAAAGTTTGATTAGAAAAGGTTGGTAAGAACACTGTAGCTTACATCGCGGACTGCTTTGTTCATTTCAGAGAGTGTTTCACATTTGAGCGCCAGATCCCATAAAGACTGTGCCATCTGGTCGTCTTGTACCCCAAGATATGAATCCAAGACTTCGTTCAAACGGCCGATCATTACTCTGTCAAGAGCGCCCTAGAAGCTCAGTCAAGAACGAAGACCTCAAACTGAGGAAAGGATGGAGTAAATATAAACCTCCTCAATCACAACTCCTCCATTTGCCTTGAACCGAAGCGTTCTTTGGCCATCATTCAAAGTTTTCTTACTAGACAGCGAGTTACGAGGAGCAATCAGTTGAAATCCTGATTGTTTCGGTGACACAACACGAAGCGTGAATCTAAGCTTGATCATTTAGACAAATTTACGATTACGTTCAGTGAGCTCACGTTTTGCCAATGGGCATGTTCCGCAGGATACGAACGACTTCGTAATGTCTCATTCCTGTTACGTTGATACCGTCAATCTTTTCGATAAGCTGTCCAATGTCAAGCGCAGGCTTTGCTCGTGCTAGAATATAGCTTTTTTTATCCATTCTACAGCAGAATGTGCGCTTACAAGCAATACTGTCGTCTTTGATTTTCTTGATGAATGAACGGCACCTTCCATTGTCGCTAACAGTCAACCCAAACACGCTGAAAATGAGAAGAATAAGCATGTATTACTAAGTATTCAAGTACGTGATGGGCTGCACTGTGGGGTGGCTTGATGCAAAAATCTATCTCCTCTCAGAATGGGCACATTTTGATCATTGCGCAAATCCCCTTCTATAGAGAGGGAATCTACTGTGGTCCTATGGTCTCCACCCGGCGTGAAAGAGCATAATTATGTCATGACAACTGCTACTGCTAGTAAGTGAGCTCACCCTTCCGATTTGGTTAACTCTACTTCAACAGCTTGTCCTTTTACGTGTGCAAACAACATGTCCGAATATTCCAAACTTCCTGCGAATAGTTTGTCCATGTCACGCTAAAAAAATTTGGTGACGGAAACCATGACTGTATAACTTCTAAACGGTGCTATCCATTCGAATAGACGCGGCTGTAGCAAGAATGTAACAGTGAGTATTCTTGATTACTTTTCCGTTGCCAGGGCTGCTACGATTGACACGTACATAGTTTTGAAGAAAAAAAAGAAGAGAGAGGAAGAACGGTGCGTTTCAAAAGGTTCCAACAATCTAATAAGCAAACTCTTCAGACTGGAAGTTTGCTGCAATTCTTAGCACCTCTTGCAAGCCCTGTCTACCCGTAAAAGTTAATTCTAGGCTTTCATGAAGAGAATAAAATACTCTGCATCTTAATTTACCTTGAATGTGTTGACTGTGCAGAAAATGATATCATCAGGAGAAATGTTGAAAGAATCGGCAATTGACTGCAATGTTTTATACTATTTGAATATGCAGGATTTAGATAAAATCTGTTTGGAAGACGCACTTGAAACAATTCTTCTATAGAAGCAAAGTTCGAAATGATGGCAGTTGGAGACCCGTGTGCAAGTTGACAGCAAAACTTCATATTTCGAGCGGCAACTACTAAACAGTCAAATCGTTAGATTCTAAAACTATTGCCGAGAAGGAATCGGACCAAGTGGACTGCAATCGACGATGTTAGCGATATTTTGAGTATTGTTAGTAATGTTAGGGACACGTCTGAACGGCATATTTTTGCGTTTGAATGCTTTTGCTCGAACTTTCTGTTTAGGGCGGAATGGTGCAGGTACAGGTACTGGGTCTGCAGTGTTTGCAGCCGCCGTAGACGACTTCGCTGGAATTGGAGTGTCCGCTTTCTTACTCGCAACTTTATTTTCTTCCTTATTTTCTTCTTCCTTTTGTTGCAATGGCATTGCTGTTTCTTTATTTTGCAATAATAACGGTGCAGCTTCCTTCACCTGCAATTTCATTCAATTATTATTATGAGATTGTACGTCAAGTTGGCTTGATTGTTGACCAAAGTGCTAGTCCAGAAGCCTTTTTCCAATGCCTTTTCATGCATAGAATAGTAAGCGTTCTTTGGCCAGTTGAGTCATTAAACTTATATGCGTACTGCACATACCGCTACTTCACGATCTGTATGATTAGAACCTGTTGAATTGCAGACACTTTCCCTCTTTTCTTTTTTCGTTTTCAAATTGGTTAAGAAATAGGAGTGGCGCATCTTGACAGCAGTCCGCTAAATAGGGTCGACAACAACACGAACTTGCCAAAATTTGTTCACTGCGACCTTGCAAATGGTACAACCACAGAACTGTATGACAGAGACATTCAGGATCACTTAAGATTTCTGTCGGCCTTCTCTTGCGGACGACACCCTTCTTTTATCAAGCATCAAGACAGGAAAAGTGATGGTAAGTTTAAATGGAGCGAACTAGAAAAGAAGCTCGGACAGTGAATAAGTCGAAGGTTGAATTTATGAAGGACGCATTTTGCGACGAAAAGAGGAAGGTACAGCGTTTTCTTGTGTTTATCTAAGAAGTTCGTTGAACACAGAAAACGATTTGTGAGGAGAAGGCCTGGACCGCCTTTAGTTTGATAAAGCCATCGGCTGACGCACCTACTTTCGAGCCCACCTGTTCTACGTAAGCTTTCTCCCAACAATCGGTTATGTAGCTGTGACCTTTGCCGACAACAAAGAAAAACTGAATGCCCTGCGGGTGACCCACGAGCACTTGAGAGTCTTTGAAGTCGGCGCAAGCAACATCTCACCCGACTTCGCAGTACGGATATGAGACTCGTTTTATGTTTAATATGTTGCACTAGACCAGATCTAGTGCAACACATTATTCCCACTAGAGAATTACCACCATGGATTCTACTGAATGCGCACTACCATTTAGAACATGAAGGCGTCCATGGTATCAGGACTACATTCCTATCTGTCGCTTCTGCGAGAGGAAGAAAAACACCTTCTACACGAGCCTCTCGCGTCGCACCTAATGTCTTACATCTTACATTATCTAACACCGTTCAAAAAAGACTCCCTAGACTAGTGGAACTTTAGAGACGTCTTTTTCTTCAAGAATTGCAAACCAAAGGATTTTTAGAACTATCGTCCAAGCCTTGTCTGTGCTGCATAAGCTTTTTTCTTGTAAAAATCATCGTCAGTAGCATGTCAAGGATGGACGGGACTAGATGAACCTCAGCTCCAAGAACAAGCCGGACCTCGCAAAAGAGTCAGTCAGCTGCCTGGACCACATTCAGAGAGCTTCGAGGTCTATGAAGTCTGCCGTAAGTATTGCCTGCTTCATAAATTTCTTTTACGAAGAAGCTTCTGACAGCGTCGTAACCAAGTCATCCTGTCTGCGCTAACCGATTAAAGGCAGCAGTTCGCCAAAACCAAACATCCAGAAATTTTGACATTGAAGGTTGCTTGCACCCCAAACATGAGAACAGAGTAGGTCCGAGCGCACAGCATGCTGCCCTTGCCAAGAAGACGTTACGCGCAAGCCATTCTAATACATGCGGACGAGCTTGCGATTTTTTCTGACCCGTCAGAGAAGGCATGGTAATGTTACAGCTGGGTCCCGCAACGATTCTGCCTCTCTGACCATGGCGGGACGTGCTCCACTCGTCCAAATTCAGAATGGGAGGCCTTGGAAAATAATTCAAGATGGTTCGGAATCAGCGCCTCGAATTACCCCAGGTAGAAAAAAGTTCAAGTCGAGAATCTGCCGAGCTGCTCCTTTAACACGTTTCGGACCGGTGCTGCACATGGTGCAGCACGCTGCTTGAGGATCTTTTTGTCGTTTACAGGATCTTTTCTTTAAGTCCAAGGTTATCAAGTCCAAGGCCTAAGCTTCTACTTTTCAAATGATTGTATAGAGTTGTGCCGCCGATATTTGTTTAGAAGATTTGAGCACAAATCGAACAACAGTTGCAACGAAGTGCGGCAACGCGAACGATGCGTGCGACGTCGCAACTTCTCCTTGCTTCGATTTCAGAGAGAAAAACCGTAGTTTCAATAATTATGTGTACTGTGCACAACATAGATACTTTTGTATGCTATTTGAAACTGAGTTCTTACTCCTATCTTTCAAGAAAGCACAGAATTCCTTCATGAGCGACAAAATTTAAACACTTTAACGTGTTAACATATTTCGCGGTCCGAAACGTGTTAACACGTTTCGGACCGCGAAATCGCGCGCGGCGAAGAGAATGCACTTTCAGCCATTAGCTAAAAGGGACCCTATTTCGTAGACTATGTGTTACATCTGTAATCAGCATGTCAGATAAGCACCATACCCAAAATTTTGGATGAATTCTAAGTGTTTGAATTTTGTCGCTCATGAAGGAATTCTGTGCTTTCCTGATAGATCGAATTTAGTTCCTAATAGTATACAAAAGTACCTATGCTGTGGACGTTACACATCAATATTGAAACTACAGTTTTTCTCTTTGATATAGAAGCAAAGGGAAGTTGCGACGTCGCACGATTTGTTCGCATTGCCGCACTTCGTTGCAACAGTTGTTCGATTTGTGCTCATCTTATATATAAAGTTAATGTCTGTTTGTCTGTCTGTATGTATGTCTGTCTGTCTGTCTGTACGTATGTTCCGAATAGAAAATTCCATTTCTGAACCGATCGGGACCAAACTTGGCACACATACACTTCGGGCCCCGGCGGGTGTCATAGGCTACTTTTCGTCATTGATCGATATTGATTTTATCGATTTTTTGCAAAATTTGAGCTACAGGGCTGGGAGTTGGCACAGGGGGGTAATCGAGCATGCTGATCACCCCCTGTGGGGGTGATCAGCATGCTCGATTACACCCCCCTGCCAAATTCCAGCCCTCTAGCTCAAATTTTGCAAAGAACCGATAAAATCGACATCGATTGATAACGAAAAGTGGACTGTGGCACCCGCCGGGGCCCGAAGTGTATGTGTGCCAAGTTTGGTCCTGATCGGTTAAGAAATGGAATTTTCTATTCGGAACATACGGCGGAGCCGGGTATGCCAGCTAGTATCTTCTAAACAAATATTGGCGGCACAACTCTACAGAGTCATTTTGGAAGTAGAAGCTTAGGCCTTTGACTTGATAATTTTGAACTAAAAGAAAACCTCCTGTAAAAGACTGTCACCATGTGCAGCATCGGTCCGAAACGTGTTAAGGAGTAGACTCAGCCTACGTGAGGAATCAACGGACTGCTACAAGGCTTGTATAATGACGATGCAGCCATCCCATTCTTGCACAGTGCGGCTTTTCATCGCTGTTTCACCATTTCAATTAACAAGGCGACAATCTCGCCGAAGCTGTTCACGATGGCCTTGCAATGAGTAACGATGTTAGTGGACCGAGAGGAGAGCATACGTCCGGATGAAAAGCTCTCATTTAGAGCAGTACCACTAAAGCAGAGACGATGCTGAAGGAATCAAATGAATTGAGGAATAACGGCTTGCGGTCAAATTGGAAGAAGACTCTGTTCTGAAGAACGTCCTTTGCGAAGATGCGGAGGAATTGGAAGGCGTTCTTACAAGGGAACGATACTTGGTGTCCGTGGCCTTTTGAGATGAAACGTACACCATCTCTCTTGTTTTGGAACGCTGATTGCGAATCTGACTTCCTTTTTTGCTAATCGTCTCTCTGAAAGAAGTTATGAAGGATTTTCGCGTCAATGGTCGCCTAAGAGAAATGCGGCCGAGGATGCCTAACTTACAAAAAGAAGCTTGATTGAGCTTTTGCAAAACTGAAAAACACAAAAGTACTCGAATCCAAACCTACATTAACTTGCGAGGCTATCGCACTAGCCACTACACCGCATCTTAGCGGCGGTTTTGGCATTCCGACCGCGTCTCCTTTGGCGCAAAAATCCTTCATAACTTCTTTCAGAGAAACGATTAGCAGAAACGGAAGTGAGATTTGGAATCAGCGCTTTAAGTTGAGTGCAATGGTATACATTTCATCTCAAAGGGCCACGGACACCAAGTATCGTTTCCTTGTTAGTCATTTACGTCTTATTTTGCACCTTCGATTAGCATCAAGAACTTGAGAGAAGAACTCAACAGGTAAAGAGCAACAGCCTAGGCGGCCACATCGAAAGTTTTACGGACCACTCACAGTGCGCTTGAGCGCTTTGTAAAGATGACTCAACACAAGCAACATCATGTCGGACTTCGCAGTACGCATAGAGAAGAAGTCTCGTCTTCGTAATTCAGCGGGATACGACACCGATGAACCGTCACATTATGAAACAACAAACGACAGATGGACGCTCATAACATCGGAGTAATTTCCTTGCGAAGACATTGTTATGACTCCAACGATTTGGGCAAGCGTTTAAGAAGAAAGAGTTTAGTTGATACCGACGATGAGCAAGAAGGATGCGGGTGCCAGAAGGGAGACAACGACATAGGAGAATTTGCTAGGCCAAGTAACTGTGTTCAAAAGCTCTAAATCTTACAACCGTCACTATCACTGTCAAGTTGTTTTTGCTTAAGATTAACAACTAACCTCTGTTCCGGTCATTTTCTTCAGTTTTTCTAGTAACTTCCTCAGCACCGGAGCGCTGGGCTTCTGCTGAACATACGTTCCAAACGACCCATTAATGTCCGGCATTCCAAGAGGTACCCTCGGATGTATGCCTGTGATTATTCGTGGTGGTTGACAAATGGCTACAGTGTTTGGATTTCTCAGTGCTACAACACCTTCTTTTCTCAGCTCCTTCTTCAACGTCATAGGTTCAAAGATCTCGGAGTCAAATGGGAAAAGTTCAGCTAGTGAATCTGATGAAATCGTCGATGATACTCGGGACAGAGTCGGGCTGCTTAATGGTAGCGGACCGGACGATGATCCCGAGGTTGTGTCAGTGCAACGTTGGACAGCAGCAGCGTAGCTTAGTTTCTTTCTCTCGTTGGATGCGGACGCCGGTTCTGCTCCACCAGGTATAGGTAGTCTGTATTTGGCACGATCTACTGATCTGCTTCTCGGTCGTAGACGAGGCTGTGGACCAAATACCGGACCGTCCTCTTCGGTATCTGGACGTGGTTGCGGCCCGTATACAGGGCGTTTCTCTTCCTCAGGTGTCGGTCGTGGGTGTGGACCATATACGGGCAGATTCTCCGTCTCAGGTGTCGGGCGTGGATGTGGACCATATACAGGCAGATTCTCCTTTTCAGGTGCTGGACGTGGCTCCGGTCCAAACACGACGCCCCCCTCCTCACATGCGAAATGCGGTGGTGGTGGAGGAGGAGGTGGAGGAGGAGCTTGTTGCCAGGGGCCAAAGACCGGCTCTTCCTCTTCTTGCTTCTGTTTCTGTGCTCGTGCTAGCGATGTCCACTGAGGGAACTTCGCAAAGACGCGTCGAATCGGAGATCGAGACTTGCGTCTGGAATCACATGATGATTATATGCGTCGCAGCAATGGATGGGCTCTACCTATTGCCGAAGAAGCCCTGCTGCTCCATGTTGTTAGTAGTTGGTTAGTAGAAGTTAGTAAAATGAGAATGAATGCTGCAGAGCTTCCTATTTATATGCTTAAGGCCTTATCACGATATGTCAGTATCACGATCAAATTCATTCTCTCAGCATTAGCAGTACAGCAGTCATCCACACTCCGATGGCCCTCACTTGAAAAGGAAATTTTTACTAGGATGTGCGACAAGCAGAGCAACTTGCAGGGGCTCTCGTTGTCAGAATTTGAGTTCAAGACTCCGCGAACAGATTTGAAATAGGTCTCACTGTTTTGAGATAGTCATAATTTTGAGTTAACATTAGCTTCGTTGAGTATTGAACTTGAATTCCTGAAGATTGAGAACCGGAAGAAATTGAAAATCTCTAGCAGGACACAGAAGTATTTTCTGTTGGGAAAGAGCTCACTCCGATTTTGGAATTTCTCCTATCTTCAGGATTGCAAAGTCGTCTATTTTTTCCTTCATCATCGGTTTCCCAAATAAAAAATCCAACTCTGTAGAATAAAAAGATACAGTCCGATGGTTACAGGGTCCATACCGTTACAGGGTTACAGGGTCTTATTGCTGCGCATCAAAATGGCCACAGTAAGCAAAACTTTCAGCAGTACGCTGAATGGTTATTTTTTGCAAATGTTGTCGAAATTTCACTTACTGGTGTTAAAATTTGAAAGAAACTGTATTAGGTAACCAACACAATTCAACTGCTTGCACATTCTACTACTTGGATGGAGGCATTGCGTAGAGAAATACCGAGTTAGCAAAGCGATGACAATTTTTTTGTGTTTATGAAAAACGAAATCTATGGCAGCAATAGTGAATCAATAGATTTATTATAAAAAGGGAAAAATAAATTAGTCGTCTTTTTTTATTCCTTTGTCTCCCAGACAGAAGATACTGATCAAGACAAGCACGCCGGATAAGACGATGAGGAATGCTGAAAAGCATACATTTGAGAGGAATATACTCTTAAAATGCAAAAGTTATGCTCCATTTGCTCGTAAGGCCTTTTTTTAAACACTCATTTTCTCTCATAAGAATACTATCACGTGGTGATTTGTAAACATGACCTTTTCTTCAGGAATAATGAATTTAATTCGAGTCTTTTGAGAAGGGCTCACCTCCTACACCAACCGCACTCCAGCACACTATTTTTATTGTCTTCTGCGGTGTAAACAGTGACGATTGGAGATCGTTTTTCGTTCCGTCATCTATCAAGAAGGATTCATTCAGCCACACTAGTGGATATGCACCAGGTCGGATGACGCTGTACGCTCTGGAAAAGGAAGAAAAGTAGTGGCTTCATAAAAATAGACTAGTGAAAATAAAATAAAAAAGGGGGAAATCAAACTTTGCGTCGTTTGTCAAAACGTGGAGCTAGGGACCTCAGGAGGGATGCGCAGACAAAAGAGATTTTGTACAAGAAACGAATAATTCGCTAGAAAAAAATTTTGATTCTATTGAATTGTGAAAGTGACATGATTACTGGATAACTAGAACATAAACGATATTCTGTCAAAAATTTGATTTATGGCGAAAAATTTTTGGAGAGTGTGGCTCTACCATCCCCCCTCCACATTCCAGGGTTGCGAGAACGCTAAATTTTCATTAATCATCCCAGGGATTTTTTTCGGATAACTGTCAAAACACAGTCTCTTTACCGTATAGAAGTTTTTGTACCCCCCTCCCCCTTCGTAATGTTTGAGCAAGTTTTAATCAGTGAAAGCTGCGATTGTTACAAAATCACTTTGGCAGTTCGAAAAATAAACTCACGCAATTGTAGGAAACTGATTGACGAGCAAATTGATTTGCAATCGCTTTTTTGCTGACAAAACAGTTCCAGTCATCTGAAAGGATATGATTGACTACTGTAGGATACTATACCGTATCACCAACAATAAGCTGAAGTACTGTACCTACCGGTTCAATGTCAAGCGTAGTCTCATCGTCGTAAGAAGATTTGAAACGAGGAACAAATGCTTGCACGATATCCGATGCTTGGTAAAAGTGAGGTTTTGAGATGATTATTGGTGCTGAATGCCAAAGTTAAATTTTTTCGATCTCCCAAATTTTGATTTTCGTTAAATAACTTACCACTTTGACAACCGCTAATATCTAGAAGACCACTGGGTAAACAAGACCCGTTCTTTGGCACATTATAAGCTCCATATTTGCTCAAACTATTCGGATTACAGAAACCGCAGTTGTCGCTGATCGAGTAGTTGAACTGGTCGGGGGGTAATACGTATCGGTACCCATCTATACCCTTCACAGTCACTTCTTTTTCATATAGTAACTCCGCTGTTCTGAGAAACAAGAATAAGAGTTGTCCTTTGGAAAGAGTAATCAGGCTAACCTGCAGATGTCATCTACATAAAGGGGTAACCTCTCATTCTTGTCTAGAAAAGACTTGAAGAAGTCGCCATCTAAAATCAATAAAATCAATATTTAAGCACTAATAGAAAGGATAAGGACGTAATTCAATTACTTTATTAATTTCGTGAATTTCGTGCAAAAGGGTCCATATTCGCAAACTTGAGCTAGCTGAGCAAAACTCAAGAAAGCTATCACAAATACTTTACCCTTTATTTGCAAAAGTTTGTGAAATCAATTCATTAGTTAAAATAATTCTGACGAGGTTTTGAGCGCTCATTCACAAATGTTGGTTAATTACTGGATTTTGGGTCTCGAATAGAATTTTGAAAACCTAATGTTTTGAAGAAGGATCACAGGCAAAAAGGTGCAAAATCAAATAATAGAAGAGTATTCACTGGTGTCAATTGTTTTTTTGAAAAATTTCGTCACAAATACCACAGGTCCGACTCACCAGTTCCTTCAAGCATCAAAGCATAACTATTACAAGTGGGAGTCTCAGCTGCAGGCCACCTAAACACTTTTTGTCAAATTATTGATTGACTCATGAGGGAAAACTCGTACCATTCAGACGGAAGTTTGTTCCCTTGACTGGGTAGAGAAGCATTGGTCATATTCGCAAAGGACAGTATATAGCCAGCACGAGATGAGTCGACTTTTCCTGAGTCTACCGTATAAATTGTGTCAGTTGTGCCATTTTCTGTCTGAAAAGATTTGTTGTCTTTTTAAAGCTTTATTTTATTGTAATTTATACTCACATTTAAGGCGACTGTGAAGTTTTCTGGATCTATATGCTTGAATTCTGTACCAATGAGTTTATTAGTGATGTCTATGACACGATCAAATAGTCTAGTTACGATAGGGGAAACGTAACCGGAGAAGAGTAACTCGTCCACTGTCTGGAAAACATCACTTACTTTCTCAACGCAAAAAAGTCAAAAAATTGTCAAACAGAGTTGCGCTACAAAAAAAGTACCCACCACTGTAACGAATGGTCCCGTCTTGAAAAGTGACAGAAATACTCCTAACTCTCTGTCTATCAGTTTCGCCAACTCGGCACATTTCTCTGGTTCCATAATCATATGACAAAATCCAACAAGCTCCTCGTTACCTAACACCTTTTCTAGGAATTCTTGAATTTGCTCCATTCCAACCTTAACAAGGGACCATCATTGAGATTTATGACAAAAACTGGCGATAAACTTACAAAGAAGCTGATATCAGGAATGGTTACGGTATCCTTTTTCGGATCGCAAGTGGGGCATGACTTGGCCGGATTGAAATTGTACCGATAGGCTTGAGCATATTTCATACGTTCTCCATTGTCGGTAAAGCTTATGTGATCGTTGATTATGGTTTCACTAAAAAGTCAATCGAAATTTTCTAAAAAAAGGCATTTTGATTACTTTTCTTTATAACATTAAGAATCAGAAGGCGCGGAAAGCCAGACGCTGGTTCACTAGATCCAATTTTATAGGCGAGGAGTACTGTAGAATTACGGTACTTATTGAAATGATTGTTTTTAAAATATTTTTTGCTCAATTTTACTACTTGCTTTTTGCTTTTCTAGAAATTTCTGTCAAATCCGAATTTTTGAAATCTAATATGTAAAGAATCGTAGTGTGAATTAAAAAAACATCAGGTAGCGAGAAATTGCGGTGCGGTCCCGAAGCGCGCGTATGCAATTTAACACCTTTAATTACTGGTTCACTAGTTTCCTACGAAAAAATTGAGCCGCTGAAGTTAAAAGAATTTACATTAAAGTTGTCCAACTAGTAAAACGTATACTCACTCATACGCGTAAGGACCCTTTTCGTCCATATCCGGATAAAGTGCCCTATTCATAATTCCAATAGTATTTTTATAATCGAAAGCCCAATATTGTATAGTTGATATATACGAAGGGGTCGCCCATTGCTTTGTAAAATCGTTGAGAGTCCCATCGGAGTTGAGACCTAGCACCTTTTGCTGAATTAGGTGTTGATTATTGGTTGAAGTCTTAAAGACAGACAACTTACCTTTTTGACCGAATTATTGACTATATCTGGAAAGACTTTGAGTACAACAGTTAAACCAGCTACAAGCAGACCAACACCGATTAGGAATATTACCGCGCTAACTGAGCCACAGACACATTGCCGTTTTCGCATATGAAAATTTACAGGTTAATATTTTCGAAGCAATAAATGAATGACGAGAAAAAATGAGGAGTGCTGAGCAAACTGTTAAACTACAAACGAATTACAAGAGCTTGAAGGCACTACATGTAAGATCTGACCAATTTATACACTTACCAGGCCGAGTGGAAATTGTTTGAAGCGGAAAAGTTGTTTAAGCGCACCTTTGTATAAAGGATTCATTCTACTTATTTTGGATAGAGGAACGAACACCTCAATTAGGCACCTCCTCCGCGGGCTGCTGGCACTTTCGTCCTACTGCTGTGCGCCGTGTTAGGATCAGTAGTCAGCGGAGGAGATGCCTAATTGAAATGTTCGTTCCTCCACCCCTTATTTTGGCATTGAAGAGTATTAAGTGTGATTTCATCTCCAGAAAAAACAAACACACATAATATCTCTTTTATTAGTGTTAGTACAGAATTTTATAAAGGACGCATAGTTTGCGCAAAGCCAATACTTTGAGCCTACAAGTGTTGTTTCTTATCATTTCTATCAAATGGAGCAAACTGATTTCGAGCAGAACATACAGGTCGGTATGTATAGACCAAATAAGGTATTAAAAAAAGATTAGGAAAAAGTGTGAGAGGTAAGTTACTTGTCTGGCAAGGCCCTAATGGTCATCTTTTAAAGATAATAAGCCTTCTTTCAAAAAATGTCAGGGAGCGTCAAAATTGAACTGTCTTGAAATCAGCTAGTAGACTGCACGTATAAGACTGTGTGTAAGTTTTTATAGCTTTTCTTAAAATTATACAATCTCAAAAATGACAGAAAATACGAACATACGAAAATATGCATTTTTTTCTCTTTGTAATTTTTTCTCCTCCATCAATCAGATAATTGCCGAAACTTCTAATCCGTCGTCCCTCTGCACAAAATTGCGCAAGTTTGTCTAGGCTGAACTTTCAAAAAAAAAACATTTATGTTAGACAGATAGAGCAGATTTCAAATTAGGAGTAAATTTTAGTAAGCTGGGTATCAATAGATGAACAAATATAAAAACAGAAGTCAAGCAAAAACTCCCTGCAATTAAACAAAACTGAATGTTTGAATAAATTAAGAAATTTGTAAAAGGAGTGCGCTTAACATTGTTGTGCAGCAATCTTTCCTGATAAAGGTAGCTATGCGAAGTAAAAACGAAGTTATCATATTGTAATCTTATAGAGAAGCATCATTCACGTCATTTTTTTCTCTACTAGTCACACTAAGACTTTTCTTCTTCAGTATCAATCAAGAGTAGAGTTGAGTAGGTGATCTTAGAAGCAAGTAAGGACAAAATAAAAATAAGAATTCATAACTGCCTCGAAAAGATTCCATTGAAAATCGGATTTTTCAAGAACTTTGACAGAATCTTCGGATTGAAAAAAATTGAGTCTAAGAATTGCGGCCATCTTCTAGATAGACGAAGTAAAACTATGTCGATGACAAAAAGTGCACTCAGTTGGATCATATCAGCTTAGTCAATAAAACGGTGGCCGATTGGCATGCAACGCAGTCTTATCAGGTAACGTTTGCCTGCACTGGTTGTAGCGGCCAAAAGACTAGATGAATAAGTTGGCGGCCCTCTAAAGTGCAATATTATGTGAAGCTGGTGCAAAAAAATGGACGTCTTTATTGGTTACTAGATGGCATCCCAGACAATTCACCGGAGATTCCACAGCGCAAGCAAAATCTGCAGCGGTTCCGCAGAATTCTCTCTACCAAATATTACAAAGTGGTAACGTTGAGAGGGGGTACTTTCGCAGGATTTTTACTTCAAATTGATTGAAAACGGAAACCTCCGCAGCGCTTGCGAAGCGCTGCGAGACATCCGAAAAATGCCAGGGGTTCCGCAGCACTTTGACCTGTTAGTACTTCCTCAGGTTTTCGAATGTTTTGTCTCTTATGATACTGTCTCGCCAACGCCAGAGTGCATTGTCTAACATGTCAATGGGGCAGAGGCTAGTAAGTTCGAATCTCGCTTTGGTGTTCTCTTTTGCTGTTGTGACATTCACCTCATTTCGGATCTTCCGCAGGTGACCCGGCGGAACTTCTTCAAACGTTTGCGGAATTTCCGGTACACTGTATGAGATACCCGGCTCCGCCCGGCTCTGCCAAAACACTATGATAAAGGTCACCATCTATATTTCTGTACAATCTTCCTCTCACTTCTACATGCCAATTTCCTATCATTGTTTTGTTTTCGTAATCAGCATGCCTACTTACCCCCTGCGCCAACTCCCAACAAGCGTTGCAAAAAAAACGTCAAAATCTATAGAAGTATTAGATAATTCCAAAAACTGATATTGTATTTCTAAGCAAACTGCTCACCTTTCAGCTGTGCCAACTCCCAGCCACAGCTGAAACTATGCAAAACCGTTAAAATCGACAGAAGTAATAGGTAATCCAAAAACCATTAATGTACACTTATTCGGGTAACGGTCAAGAGGCGCGGTTTCTCCAGCTGGCACCAACTCAAAACTGCAATTTAGCGCTATATGTGTCTTCAAAAAATACCCAGACGTTGGCTTTCTACTGTCTGATACTACCACTTGCTGAATTTGGTGGCTTTTGCTGGAAAATGGACTGAGATATTTAAATAATTGTTCTTAACTGCATTTTCATGGATTTTTGTTCTACAAAATTGCTGTTTTGGGTTGATTCCAAGGCAGCAAGGCCAAGCAACACATGCAATCATCTAATAAATCTTCTTCTAAATCTTATATATAAAGCTGAATGTCGGTTTGTCTGTCTGTCTGTATGTATGTATGTATGTCTGTGTGTACTTATGTTCCGAATAGAAAATTCCATTTCTGAACCGATCCGGATCAAACTTGGCACACATACACCTCGGGCCTCGGCGGGTGTCATAGGCTACTTTTCGTCATCGATCGATATCGATTTATCGATTTTTTGCAAAATTTGAGCTACAGGGCTGGGAGTTGGCACAGGGGGGTAATCGAGCATGCTGATTACAAATATATTATTGACAGGGCCGGGCGGAGCCGGGTAAGCCACTTAGCTTCTAATACTTTTGAAATGTTGTAAAACTCGAAAGCAAAAACACTTATCATGACTTATAATAAGCGGCTTAATCTGAAGTTGTGTGGAGTTTGTCCGTTACGAAATTACAGTGAGGAATGATTTACATTGCTTAAATGCATGTGAGAGTTGCAAAGCAAGTAAGGTTCATTTTTGTAATTACTTTGCGGTTTCCTCCATCAAAGAATGATGAAGGCTAAGATCATTACGTAAGTTTACCTATACTTTTCAGATGGCCAGTGCGAACCTCTGCGAAGCAGAGGTGAAGCACTGGTTATGTAATATTTGGTGTCCATCTGGCAATGAAAATCTCGCCTCTCCTACGTAATCAGCATGCTCACTTACCCCCGTGTGCCAACTTTCAACCTCGTAGCGGAAACTTTGTAGGAATCAATGATATCGACATCGATCGACAACGAAAAGTAGCCTATGACATTCGCCCCGCGCCGAAGTGTATGTGTGCAAGTGTGAAGTGTATGTCTTTGCTTCGAACCGGTTTAGAAATAGAACTCTCTAATCGGAATATAGGTACAGACAGACAGACAGATAGATATACACAAGCACACATATATTCAACTCTATATATTTATTATATAATACTGATATAAGATATTTTTGACTCGATGATTCTTATTTGGTACATCCCGGTGCAATCCCCTTGTCATTGCGTAGCGCTTTTCTTGCTTTTATGCACGTTTGACTTTCCGGAGTATCCGCTCGACCTGATTTATATGTACTGAATCCAAGATTATAAAGTTATTGTTCTCAACAAAGTAATTTTCGCAACACATACAGGGTGTCCCAAAAGTAAGTAAACACTTTTCAATCGTCAATATCTTTCTCCCCATTGTCTCTTTTTCCGCCATTTTAGCATCATTCTATAGAGGAGGCTACAGCTTAAACTTACAGTATTAAGTGAATCATCGATCGCTCTTCGTTATTGAAGGATTACGTTGGAAACTTCGACAAGGATTTTAGGCCATTGAAGGCCATATTCTGTCTCGAAACCAAACCAAACAAGCCGTCAACTGTTCTACTGTGGTAATCGAAGCCGCCGATCTCAATTATGAAACTTCCAGTTTGCTGTGATGCTTCTTTCCAAAGTTATCCCTGTTAAACCGTTACAACCAAATTCCCAGTACTTGTCAGAAATGTGATTACACCATCAAAAAAGCTGAAAACACTCATAAAAAGTTGTGTAGTAGAATCAGCGTGCGCGAAAACCCTGGTACACGATTTCTCAGATTTTTTGTAAAATTTTTGTCAGATAGCATATTTTACAATGGTTCCACATGCTGGAAGTTCTTACCGTAATCCTACAGTAACGAAGAGCGATCTATGACTCGCTCGATACTGTATAGTTGAAGCCTCCTCTACAGAACAGTACTTAGATGGCAGGAAAAGAATCAACGGGAAGAGAGCTATTTACGATTCAAAAGTGTGTACTTACTTTTGGGACACCCTGTATAAGCGCCGTAAAACCTAATTGCTCTCGCTGTCCCTTGAACACCAGCGTAAGCGAGCGGTCGTCGCGAACGACTCGGCGTTCACTATATTCCAAGAAATCTTTCTTTAATTTTCATGTTGTTCTCGTCAATGCAAGGTATATCTTGACGGAAGCTCCCTTCAAAAGTTTAAAAAACATGTGTGGAAAGGGTGCGCGCTCACTGTCGCTGCAAAAAGCCTGTAGCGCTTCGGACCAAACGGTTCCAGCCACGCCGCGCGTTGGTGTTTAAAGCGACGATTTTACGGGACGTGTACCTTGCAAGGAGCAGCGGATTCATATCATACCGGATTCATACCAGGAGCAGCGGATTCATACCATCGGTTACCCCTGTTGTTATGCACCTCTGCCTGGCAGAGGCTCGCCCTAGTTTACGCAGTGATACTGGTCTTCCGATCATAGTCGAGTAGTAAGACGAACAAAAACGAACCTAAGCCATGCAATCTTCACATTCAATTCCTCACTGTATCTCCGTTTCAGACCACCTCCACAGTGACACAGATTAGGGGCTTATCATAGACCAGTGCGTCACTTCTGCTTGGAACTGGTCCACTATGGAATGCGAGGTTTTTCCTACGTTCTAAAGGCTTGTCTCTAAATCATTTTTTAGTGATTGAAGATGAATCCTGATCAGGAAGAAACCTATCTTGCTACAGGTCCTCCATGCTCAAAATATTGTAAGCCTTCTTCATTGTAATTTTGTAACAGACCGATTCCACAAAAACTCTGAATAAAGGGTTCTGGGAAGAAGCCTCTTCAGGACTTTTGGCACTGCAGTGGTTTTCTAATTTAACGTAGCGAATGAGCCCATGTAAGAGAAAAAACTGAAAAAATAGATTTTGTGCTCAACTCTGCCTTCATACATTGTCCAGGCATGTCTCGACACATGAAGCTTACGCTTTCATGCTGATCAACGGGCCTAACTAAGGCGCTGCCCAAGCGACAGCATAAATGATTCATCCACTGTCAAAAATTTGTCTCCAAGCCTGTCCACACAAGCTTATCAGAGCACGACGCGCCAGTGTCCCACTGGATTTGGGGATATTGGATTTGTGTTTCATTAGGGGACCCCTGGGGACGAGTGGCGTAGTGGTATGAGGCGCCGCTATGACTAGATCGGGCCCAGGTTCAATCCCCGCCCCTGGACCAACCAAGCCCTCTACCCTCCGGAGCCGGTAAATTGGTACCAGAGTAACTTGGGAGGATAAAAGCACTGACTTGATAACGACGGCCCCCCGTAAGTCACAGTATAGGCTCGCACGCATACAATCATCTCTTCGACTATGAAGTAGTCTGCGTTCGGCGCATGCCCGCAGAGGGTATTGAAGACGCCGAATCCTTCATCCTTTATCCTTTCAGGGGACCCCTTTTTATGCCGATGCCCACGTCCCAATTGATAAAGTCCTCATTGGCTGAAAAATTTAGGCTCAAAGTGGCCCGCGAGCGCATTTTGCCGCACGCTGGAGAACTTGTCGATTCCTCTGTCGCGCTTCAACACGTCTTACCAGCGACGTCCTAATGTGTTCAGTCTTGAAGCCAAAGCTAAGGTGGGGCGAGACAGCTCGTCCGCGTTGTTCCTGGGGGCTTCGGGAAATGGGGTTGCTGGGGTTTTTTGCGCGAAATTGAGTTTTGTATAGGTTTATACAAGGTTGAGAGAAAGCATACGGCTGAAAGATGTTAGCCGTATACGCGATTGTGGGGGCATTAGGCGTTGCCATTTGTCATTTCGGACAGTGCCGTTAGAGACCTTGACTGCAGCGTTCCTCTAAGGATGCCTGGGTATTCGTAGAAGTGTAATAGTGGGGGTACAAAGTGATGAAATTCGGACGTAAATGGGAGTTCGAAGCAAAGATTTTGCTCCGAAAGCGGTCTCCATGGGCAGCATATCGCACGCAGTCAAGACCTTAGGATCGCACAACGACTCTGCATTTCCAATCTCTCCGTGCCTGCTCCACAATTCCAGAGTGTAAATGGACATCGGTAATGTCGCGATGTTCTACATTTGTCTCTTGCACGGCATATAGTCATTGAATAAAAGGAAGAATTTTTGGATTCCTTTGAAACCATGTGACTTCATATGATGCTTTTTCGATTGTACGACCAGCTCTCACATTAGCTTTTCATAAAGGAAACGTCTGTCTTCATGGGGCGTTTATCAATTAGTGAACGAAAGCAGTAGAATAAAATCTGTGTATGTTTCCGTTTCTTAGAATGAGCACAGGGAATGGTTTGTCTAAGGACGGTCTAAGCTACCGCTCCGATATTTATGCTATGGATCTCCTTATAAAGGTGCGATGTCTCGTTGACAAACTTCGCTTTATCCAACGCCTTTAGATTTATGTATATGGTTCCATTTTATGGGTTGCATTAATAATAACAATTATAGTTAATAATATTCGTGTAAGTTTTCCATGTATCATACTCAATCCTAAAGAAGAGGGACATCCTTGAAGGCAGCGTTCGGGCAAATCTGGATTTATGGAGATTTACGTAAAAAGTGATTTTGGGGCCCGAACTAAGGCACGGTCCAAGCGGCAGCGCAAATACTCACTAACGGCCAACATTACGCCTCCAACTGGACCGCAGCATCGTATTATCGGAGACTTGCATCGTGTTTGCATGCTTTCGCGCGAGGACCCACGCGAAACTGATTTCTTGCGCCTCGAATCCGTGCGAAATACGATCCCTGGGGTCCAGTTTGGAGACGAATATCTCAGCCGTTAAAACACCATCTGAGCTGCCGGTTGAGCAGTGTCTTAGTTAGGATTCCAAGATTACTGTCCACGGGAGATCCCCATATGTCCAGATTTGCCTGAACGCTGATTTGAGAGTAAAGCGCGCGCGAGAGCAACGCATGGGCGCACATTGGCTGCGAGTCTCTGCACCTCATGCGCTTAGCCATGGTAGGTACTTAAAGGCAGTGGATCGGCAAAACTTGACAACCCAGGGTCTTAACGCAGAAGGTTCCTTATCGTCCAAGTATGAAAACAGTGCAATCCCGGTCGCATAGCGTGCCTTCCCTGTCGAGGAAATCGCTCTCAAATTTACACGCGCAAGCCAATCTTACACGCACCCGAACGAGTTGGCAACTTCCTTCTCACCATTGGAGGCTGCCCGCCGCAATGCTATAATCATTGGGTCCTGCAACGATTCAGCGTCATCAGCCTTGCTCCACTCGTCCTGTCTTGAAGGAAAGGTTGTTGAAAAACGCTCGTTTTCGCCGTTGAGTTCTCTAAAGTGGATTATCGTGATCAGCGTATTGAATAACCCCAGTAGGCGAAAATTTGACTAGGTTGAGATTTGCCGAGCCACTGCCTTTAACACGTTTCGGACCGCGAAATCGCGCGCGACGAAAAAGAGTGTACTTTCAGCCGTTAGCCTACAAAGGGACCTTATTTCGCAGCCTGTGGGCCACATTTGTAACCATGTCAGATAAGCTCCATATCCAAAGTTCTGAGTGAATTCGAAGTGTTTGAATTTTGTCGCTTAAAAGGGACTTTTGTGCTTTCTTGAAAGATAGGAACAAGAACTCAGATTCTAATAGTATTTTAAAGTATCTATGTTGTACACGGTACACATCAGTATTGAAACTACGGTTTTTCTCTTTGATATCGAAGCAAAGGAAAGTTGCGACGTCGCACGCGTCGTTCGCGTCGCCGCACTTCGTTGCAACTGTTGTTCGATTTGTGCTCATATCTCCTAAATAAATATCGGCGGCACAACTCTACAGAGTCATTTGAAAAGTAGGAGCTTAGACCTTTCACTTAACAACTTTAGACTGAAAGGAAACCTCCTGCAAACGCCAGAAAGATCCTTTACAGCAGTGTGCTGCACGATGTGCAGCACCGGTCCGAAACGTGTTAACTGCGCTCTTACTCGCTTCGCAAAGGTGACCGTCTTCGAGCAAGATACACTATCAAATAGTAAAACAAGCAGAGATCAAGCAAGTATTCAGACTCGCCCAATCAGACCGAAGAAGGAGAAAATTTACGAGAAACTCCACACCTACAGCAAGGTAGCTTTTATGACGAAAATGTCATTAACAAGTACACTACGCGAATGCAGAGGCAGCGAGCACCACCACGAATGACATATGTAGACTCCAAGAGTTTCTCAAGCGATAGGGACAAGTGGGAGAAAGAAAAGAGCACCGAAGGATCTACCAGAAGTGAAAGAACTAGGAAAACAAAGACGAGTTCAAAGGTTTCACTTTTGAAAGATACATCGGTTTAGTCAAATTTGCATTTTGTTCTGTATTTCCTGCTTTGACCCTAATCTGAATCTCATGTAGACCTCTGTTCTTTGTTCAATGGACGCTGAAGCGCTGTCTAATGCGAACTTATGCGAACTCACTTACGTCAGCATCAGGCGGTTTCAGCGTCCTTTCAAATAAAAAACGTTCACTATGTCATACGGAGCGCAATCTGAACCTATACGCGTCGGCTGTAGCAGCGTTGGAGATTAGACTTGCTCGCCCCTAGTGAGAGTTTTGGCTACATCAATCCCGATTGTGGTAACGTGATGTTACGGGTTCATTAGTGGGCTCTACTAATGTCTTTTTATTAGCCGATCATGGTGGCCACGGGCTTCGGTACGTGGCACCAATTATAACGAAGGGTGTTGTGAGAAATTGAGTTGCGTGCTAAATCCAACAACATGACTTCTACAGCCCAAGTAAAGTCGATTGCCAGACTATGACCAAGTCATTGGACCGGAGACCCACGCGAGCGGTTAATAAGCTTGCCACAAACAACTCTTTAGGAAGCAACAACTGCTCGCACTGCTGCAACTACTAAAACGGGTATGAGCAGTGGAGAAAGCTTCGAAAGAACATCAAGGGAAGGTCCATTGTTGGCGTCGGGCAATGATCGTGATGAAAGAAGCGTAGAAATAGGTTACCTGTAGTGTAGGATGCATTTGTTTCAAAATTCTACTTTTTAGGAAAGACATCTTGAAGAACCTTGTGAGTTTTAAGAAATACGGGTCAAGTAGAAACGGGAGTGAATCAAGCCGTTTCGAGATGAAACAAATCGATAGTTCATTTAGGTAGCTTCCCATCTCGCTAATGTCTCCATCAGAATACTGAACAAATTTTCCAAGAAGATGCTCTTTTATTGTCCTTATAAACTTGTCAAAATAGAATTTTGAACAAAGATAAGACTTTCACACCTCCCTTCTTATTTGTTCGACGTAAGACGTAAAAGTTGTTTTATTCAGTCAAGCTTCAGAATATCAATTCCCACTTCAATTGCCGGCAAAGAAATATAATAGCTTGCTGGTTGAGCGAGACAGATGTGGGTAACTAACGAAACCCAGCCTTCAATTTTTCCCCTGCAGCGATTCAAACATGATCTTAGGATAGTAATGATCTTAGGATAGTATAATTTGCAGGTGTATCTGGTACAGACACGAAACCATCTGACACCACAGTCCTAAAGTAATTGTGGCTCTACAGGCTCAAAGAGTTCACGCAATCAGTGACATCTATCATGACTTATAATAACGGGCTAAGACTGTTTACGTGACTTTGTGTGTGTGTTTGTGTGTCTGTTACGAAATTCGTGGAGCGTGTTCCAGCAAACGTCCTGGGCCCAAATTTTGCACAGCACATGCTACCAGCACAAAACTCCACAATGCAAAAGCATGAGCGGATTCGTTGAGTGGATCCCTCAGAAACTGCGCGCCAAACGGGTCCACCCGGCTTCTGTACCGCAAAATACGGTCCGTATCACCTCTTTTTGCAGAGTCGTGGATGAGTTTGGTAAGCAAATGTGCAAGCGATGGAGTTTAGGCAGAAAAGTGGTCGAAAATTTACTACATAACGAAAACGGAGCCAAAACGAATTGGTTGTGTAAATGGTCAATTTGCCAGGGTTCTAGCTAAGCGTTTGAGAAAATTTCCGCACAGAGATGTAGCTCACGCTTATCATTACCTTTATGGCGACCACCAAGTCATGACAAATCCAAAAACCTATTCAAATTAGCGTTTGTCTTCCTGCGAAAAGTTTCTTCCATGCGAAATCACCGATTTCACGTGAAAAGACTTTCTAAATGAGTGGTTGTTTACATTTTATTCGTGGTAGTCGGCATAGCGCGGTGAGTTCCAGTGCCACGATTTTACGGGAATGAGTAAGGCACATAGATAGTAGAGCCAGTGCGAACCTCTGCGAAGCAGAGGTGACGCACTGGTATATATATAAAACTGAAAAATTGTCAGTTTGGAGGGTATGTGCGTTATAGAAACGCGCGCCGCTCAACCGATCAAGCTGAAACTTTACACACATATGTTTTCGAGCCTTGCGCAGATGATAGGCTACTTTTTGCAGCGATTCGTTGGGTCCTTCTATCGATTTATTGATTTGCAGCACTTTGCAATAAAAATGATTCTTATCATTTGCTATCAAAACAGGGGTATGTAAACAAGGCTGGCATGTCTCATTGTGAACTTCTGTTGACGAAGTGCAGTGAAAAGTGTTCTTGATGTGAGTCTCAATTGCTCATTTAAATGGATGCACTAAATGTATCTTATGCGGAAACCTTAGCGTGCAAGAGACCATGAGTGCTTTGTAGCGAGTGTTTTGTACGGAAGCGTTCTCAATTTACGCTTATAATCAATGCTTTCTTCGTTACATGCTCAATTTAAACAATGAGGGGTCAAAATTTTTCATGAGATTGCGCACAAATTATTTGTCAATACCAGAAATAATGTCAAGACAAGCGACAACTCACATTCGCTATAGTTGATCCCTGGGACCAGAAAAAAGCGCGAGTGCAAAGTACTGCCGACTCCACAAAAATTGACGGCAAGCAGTGAATGAAGATGAAGTAGCCGGTTAACGGCAAAGTGTCACAAAAAATGATCCTCATAATAACAATGAGCGCTGCTATCAATCAACTCGCGCTGCTTGCTTAGGTTTTGCGTGTTGAACTTGATTTGGAGAAAGAGAGATATGCTACCGACTAATAAGTGTTCACATTTTGTTTTTGTTCTTTACACAGTTTCTACAATGCCACCGAATACCTTATCTTCATTCCCGATCAGTGATCATTCCCGGGCTGGACCGGGCAGATCAGCTAGTATTATATATGTACCAGTGCGTCATCTCTGCTTCGCAGAGGCTCGCATTGGCTCTACTACCCACGTGCCTTACTCATTCTCGTAATATCGTGGTACTGAAACTCATCGCGCTAAGCCGACTACCACGAATAGAATGTAAACAACTACTCATTTAGAAATCTTTTTCACGTGAGATCGGTGATTTCGCGTGGATGAAACTTTTCGCAGGAAGACAAACACAAATTCCAATAGGTTTTTGAATTTGTCATTGCTTAATAGTCACCACAAAGGCAATAGTCACCGTGTGCTACATCTCTGTGCAAAAATCTTCTCAAAAGCTTGGCTAGAACCTTCGCAAATTGACCATTCACGCAACCAATTCTTTTTGGCGCCGTTTTGTTATGTAGTAAACTTTTGACCAGTTTTTGGGCCAAAGTCCATTGCTTGCACATTTGCTTACCAAACACAATCACGACTTTGCAAAAAGTGGGGATACGGACCAAATTTTGCGAGGTAGAAGCCAGGTGGATCCGCTTGGCGCGCCATTTCTGAGGGATCCACTCAACGAATCTACTCGTGCTTCTGCAAGTTGGACTTTCATGAGGATAGCATGCGCTATGCAAAATTTGGGCTTAGAACGCTGGCTGGAACACGCTGCACGAATTTCGTAACAGATGGACACACACACACACAAAAACACGTAAACAACCCTTAGCCCGTTATTATAAGGTCTTGATACCAGTGCGTCACCTCCGCTTCGCGGAGGTTCGCACTGGCTCTCCTATCCGTGAGCCTTATGCTCGCTCAATGATGACTCTAAAACTCACCACGCGATGCTGAACATCACAAAGAAATCGTAAACAACTGTTCATTTTTGAAGCATCTCCATGTAAGATCGGTAATCTTAAGAAGAAAAACTTTTTCGCAAAGGAACACCCGCGAATTTGAATGCATTACGGTTTTTGTTTTGGCTTGATAGTCGTCATAAGGATAACCAGTGCGTCACCTCTGCTTCGCAGAGGCCCGCACTGGCTCCACTATCTCGGTCTTACTCATTCTCGCATAATGATGGCATTGGAACTCACCGAGCAATGCCGACTATCACGAACAAAATGCAAACAACTACTCATTCCAAAAGTTTTTTTATGTGAAGGTGATTTCGCATGGATGAGACTTTTTGCAGGAGAACAAACGCAAATTTTTACAGGTTTTTGATTTCCCATGGACTTGACAGTGGTAATAAGAACGGCAGTTACCGTGTGCTAGGTCTTTGTGCAAAAATCTCGTTAAATGCTCTGGTAAAATGTTGGCAAATTGACCATTTATGCAACCAATACTTTTTGGCGCCGTTTCTCTGAAGTAATACACTTTTGATCACTTTTTGGGTCTAAGTTCATGGTTTGCACTTTTACTTGGCATAAACATCCACTACTTTGCGAAAAGTGGAATTATGGACCCAATTATGCGGCCCAAATGCAAAGTGGATCCGTTTGACGCGCAGTTTCTGATGGTTCACTCAACGAATCTGCTCGTGCTTTTGCATGTTAGACTTTCATGCGGGTAGCATGCGCTGTGCAAAATTTGAGCCCAGGAGGTTGGCTGGAACACTCTCTACGAATTTCGTAACAGACACACTCTCACACAGACACACAGACACACAAAGTCACGTAAACATCCTTAGCCCATTATTATAAGTTATGATAGTCACTTTGGGCTACATTTCCGCGTAAAAGTCCTTTCAAATTTCAAGGTAAAACTTTGCCAAATCGACTACCTAGACGATCACCACTTTTTGGCGCTGTTTTCGTAGAAAAGCAAACTTTTTGAGCACTTTTTGGGCTAGAATTTATGGGGCGCAGGTTTACTTGGCAGGCAAATCATGACTTTGCAAAAAGTCGAATTAGCGACCTAGTTTTGCTTGCCAAAAGCAGGGTGGACCCGTTTGAGGCGCAAATTTTAAAGGACTGTTTTATCGAACCGGCTCGTCCTTATGCGTGGTGGACCTACATACTGCTGCGATATGTTGTGCAAAATTGTAGCACGATAGCTTGGCTGCAACTCACTCTATGAATTTCGTGACAGACAGATATACACACACACACGGACAGACAGACAGCCTTAGCGCTTTATTATAAGTCATGATAATATAGATCCATGTCTTGTGCGAACATGTGTATAGACAGAGTTTAGAGCTTTGCATAAGGTATGAGTGCTACTTGGAGTTTTGAAAGATTCAGCAAGGTTATACATATCGCATACTTTGATTTTACATGGATATACATTCCCCATGTAACATCAAAGTATCCATGTATTAGTTTATATACTTTCTGTTCGTAAATTTGGGCAGTAAAACGTTCTTCAGTGTTTTGAGCAGGTTTGCTACAACTTTTATATTAAGCCTAATCGGCATTAATGCTACTTAAAAGCATAAAAAGTTGCATTCATATTATGAAATTTATCTGCCCAACCTCTCCCCACGCGCCACTTGCTCTGTTCGACTTCAATGCCGACGAATAAGTCTTCACATCATGAGTAAGTCAATCTTACCGAGTGGCACAGCATGTGAGGATCCCATGATGGCAGATGACAAATGTCTGAGCTGTCCCATTGGGAAACACTTTGAGTAAAGGGCCGGGCACACTTCACGCGATTTCAGTCGCGACGCGATTGGGCATATTTCAACTGTCCATAACTTACTGTAAGCACATTTTAAATGTACAAAAGATAGGGCATTTCATCAATTCACGTATGTACACACTAAGCATGTGCAGTTTGCTAATGTTGGACCTGAAAATTTCTGGCGAATTGCCAAATCGCGTCGCGACTGAAATCGCGTGAAGTATGCCCGGCCCTTAATGCAGGGTATTCAATTGACAGTAATGAAAAAGCAGCATTATACCGCTAGTTACTGCTTTTCGTCGCCGACATACAAAAAGTAATCAGATATTTCCAAGCGCGAAGTAGGAAATTGTGCGTTTAGGCTAGGCTAATCTTAAGGAAAGATGCTACTTCAGTTTTTGAGAAAAAGCTTCCAGTT